ATGTATAATACTGGAGAAGCTGATGATCTTCAAGCATTTTTTCAAGATTTTCAAATCACCGCTTGTTTGGGAATGTTAAAATGGTTATCGGATACATTTTTCGACAGAGGGATAAAAGGAGTGCAAGCGAAAAAGGGAAAAGTACGTCATTGCGATAATAATAATAATAATGTATACTAATCAGTGCCTCACTAAGACTTACGAGAATTGTCGTGACGTCATAGGTTATAACAAAACGAAACCTAACCATCAGACATTTATATTTACTTTGGGTTCGGCGGGTAGAAACCTGGAATAAATGTTGGAAAACCTCCGACAAACGTCGTTATTATAATAATAATAAACTTTTTGTTTTCCAGGTTCCATTAAAAGCTTTCGAATTTGCCATAAAACAATGTGAAAAATATATGAGATTTAAAGAAAATGAAGATTTGAGCGTGATGGACGAACCGAAAGTTTTACAAGAAGAATGGAATACATTTTTACAATGGTTTTACACCATAGCTAACGATCATGGAAAACTTCAAGAAGGCTCCAGCGCGCAATTGATGGTATTAAATTACATAAATTTATTGAATCGCTTTTATTTTATTTATTATTAACCCCTACCCCTCCCTCTTTACCTCCGTTTCAAATAAAAAAATTGCAGGTGGTTTATACGAAAGCAGTAGAAACTCTTAGGATAATGAAAAAACATTGGCCTGAAATAGACATAGATGGTAGACTTAATATTTGGATAATGAAACCATATTGTGCCAGTTGCGGAAGAGGAATTTTCATGACGAATAACGTTTATTATATAGGACAACATTCGAAATACATCGTACAAAAATATATAGGTGAACAAAAAAACTAAACTAATTAACGATTCGTTGTTATTATCATTATCATTATCATTATCATTAATTTTCTTTTCTTCAGAAAAACCTCTTCTTATTTATAATACAAAATTTGACATTCGTCAATGGTTTATGATAACAAAATTAACTCCATTAGAAATTTGGATGTACAAGTAAGTAAATGTGCTTAACCGTGACATCATTTTTAAACATTTATTAATTATTATTATTATCATTATTACAGAGAATGTTATTTGAGATTTTGTTCGCAACCTTTTGCTCTTCGTAATTTACACGAATCCGTACATTTATCAAATAATTCAGTACAAAGGAAATACGTTAATCGTTTTGACACGGCGTTCACCGATCAAAACATGTGGGATTCAAACACGTTTCAAATTTATCTTTCGTTAGTTTTTTATTTTTTTTTTAAATACAGTATAATTAACGGAATGGTTTTGTTCTTAAACCCTCCTCCTACCTCCCCCCCCCCGGGTTAACGATCATCATTGATTTTTCAGAACTTTGGGACATCCGAACGCGTGGAAAGAAATTATATATCCGGGTATGAGAGATGCCATCGTTAGCATCATGTTATCAGCACAAGATACTTTCGATGGACCAAGAAGGAATTGGTTTGAAGTTTACGGTGCTGATTTTATGTTAAGTTCAAATATAAAAGATGGACCCTGGTTAATTGAAATCAATGAAAATCCAGCCATGGATCCGAGTACGAAAGTAACGGCAAGACTTTGTCCACAAATGTTACGCGATGTCATAAAAGGTTTTTCTCCTTTTTTTTTTTTTTTTTAACAAATTCATTATCATTATTATTACCAATGACGTAATTAACGCGTTTTTATACAGTGGTCGTTGATAAAAGATCCGATAGATTTGCGAGTACCGGTCAATGGGAACTCGTTTACCGACAAAATTATTCACCTTCTTTCATGAGTGTCGATCTTGACGTGAAAGGGAAAAGAATAGCAAAAATATCTACAAACGTTAAAGTTGATTTTAATTCAAAATCACAATTAGGTGATAAAAATTTTGATAAATCTAAAAATTACGAAGTTGTTAAATCATTGGGCGATACAAATTCGAGAAATTCAAGCAGAGGAAAAATAAATCCTTGGAATTATTTAAAAAACGAAAAAACAAATTTTCCAATACAATCCGCAAAAACGTTTATAAACAACGTTGTTAATTTTGAAAAACAAAGCAGGTCGCAAAATTTTCAAAATGTAATGGCGAATTTTAATAATAATAATAATAATAATAATAATAATAACACGACGTCAACGAGTCCATCATTTGTACAAAACAACAAGCCGAAATTATTAAAGAAAATTAAAACTAATAATAATAATGCTAATGCTAATACTACTACTACTACTACTACTAATAATAATAATAATAATAATGTTACAATAAAAGATCACAATGATAAAAACAATGAAAAAGTGAAAATGTAAATTACAACGATAATTATTACAACGATTCTGAAAATTAAAACTAAATCTGTTTTCTTTTTTTTTTTTTTTAAATAAATTTTTCCCTTTCCCCCCACCCTCCTCCTCCACCCCTTTTCCCATTTTCTTCAAATATTATAAAATTAAAATTAAAATTTTTTAATTTGATTCGTATAAGAATAATAATAATAATAATAACGATGATAAAAAAAAAAAAATATCAAAATGAAAAATTTATTTTTATTATTTATTTATTTCATTGAACACGTGATTTATTATTTATTTACATTTAAAAATTATTTATTCGTATAATTGAGCAATCACACGTACGATTATCATTATGTTATCATTATTATCATAATTTTACCCACGTGTATATAATATAAAAAATTAAATTGTTTATTTATGCAATCGATAATAATTATTATAAATAAATGAGCAAGGAATCCCCCTCGAAACATTAATTATAAATACAAAAATAATAATAATAATAATAATGTGAACGTATAACAAAATTTTTTTCTAAAAAAAGGAAAAATTATTTGGCAAAATTCAAATTATATATATATATAAATTAATCGGAATTTCCACAAAATGAATCCTGACAGTCAATATATTCATCATCATCATCATCGCTTTCATCTTCTTCGTTTTCATCTTGTTTGTAAAATTTTTTCATTGCGTTTGCTTTATATTTAGCATATCTTTTACCGGCTAAATCTTCTGCTTCGTAATAACAATATTTTTCATCATCATCGTAATTGTAAAAATTATCATCGTCCGAACACGATGATTCATAATCATTTTCTATAATTAATAATAATAATAATAATAATAATAATAATAAAAGAATTCGAAACGACATTTTGTAAAATATAAACATCATTTAGTTTAATACCTAAGTGAAATTTTTTTAATTGTTTTGCTAGATCGTCATCTTCATTATCACCACCACCACCACCACCATCATCATCATCATCATCATCATCATTATCATCATCATCATCATCTTCGAAAATACTAATTGAAAACAACAACAGTTTTAATTTTAGAAAAATGATTATTTTTTTAAAAAATAATTATTATTATTATTGAAATTAATTACTCTGAATCTGGATAATCATTTCTCCAATTATTTTCATCGTTAGAATCATCTTCATCGGGATCTGCCACATCGTATAAATCCTCACTATTTCTGTAGTCTAAATCACAATCCAAAGGTTGAATGCTGTAATCAATTCATTTTTTTTTTTTTAAATATTTAAAATATTTAATATTAAAGAAATGAATCAAGCATAAACCAAATAATTAAGGATTGTAAATTAAATAAGCAATTGATAATTTTGTATGGAAAAAAAAAAAAGAAAAATCAATTGTTTTAATAACAAAAATAATATCAAGGCAGAAATAAATAACCATAAATGGAATTAATGACAGCAAGTTTCATCGATAACATTCTCTTATTGAGGACACTATTATTTAAACATTCTAATTTCTTATGATTTAATTTTTTTTTTTACAATTGATTACAATGATTTTAAAGGTTATATATAACAATACTAAGTGAAAGGAAAAGTCAATTATATTTTTCTACGATAACTGTTACTCTTGCATGGACCAAATTTTCATATATATATAATTTACCTTAGAAGATGTTCCATAAACATGTCATTGTAATCGGAATCATTTTCTACGTTTGCACTATATAAATCGTACACATAAGAACCATCACCAATATTGTTAGTGGATAAATTTTCGTCATTTTCCTTGCTGACATCAACAATAGTGACATTTTTTTGGCCATCATTATATGAATCAGTATTAGAGTCTTCAAATGCATTATTAGACCTTAAAAAACTTAGCAATGTAAATCTACTATCATCTGTTTTTTCCTTATATTCTTTTCTTTGTTTAACTTTTATGTCCGGTACATGTTCTTTTTTTTTTAAATTTGAATATTTAGAATCTTTTCTAAATGATTCTACAGTACTCGCTGCGATCTTATCATCCTAATTTCAAAAAAAAAATGCCAAAACTATAACTTTTACCTTTTTCACATCATTAAATAATAAAATTAATGAAAGAACAAAAAAAAAGGGCGGGGGAGGAAGAAAATGAACTACATTTGAATCAAACCTTTTCTTCTACCGTTCCTGAAAAATTTAAAATATATTTAAATGAATTTCCATCTGATGTAACAGAACAATTTTCCGTTTTTTTTCTTTTACATGATAAAACTAATGCTTCAACTGGATCTTCTCCTCTATGTCTTTTCACACGAATAATTGTCGTCATTTTTTTATTATTATTATTTTTATTTATTTAACAATAATAATAACTAATTCTATTATGTTTTGAAAACAAAATAATCAGTAAGCGCATCTGTATAAATAAATTTTATGAATGTCTGCAACCACGAAAATCAAAAATGGCGGTAAGATTATTCTATTTAAAAAAAAACATGGACGATATCACATTATAAAATAATAATTACAATTAATTAAAATTGTAATTATTATTTAAATTTTCTAAAGTTTTTAAAAATTACTTTTAAAACTTATTTATTTATTTTTAAATCTCGAATCCATTTACAAAAAAAAACAGAAAAAAAAGTTAATATTTGTTAAACCACATGATGATGATGATGATGACTCATTTTAAATATTTATTTTATTTAAATTATTATTATTAATTATTATAATATTTACAAAGATAATTTTTAAACGCTTAAACTTTTAATATCATTTATTATCCGACACAAATTAATTAAATGTAATATTATTTATTTATTTAGTTTGTTAGAAAAAATAATAGGATAAAATAAAAATTTACATTAGGTTTTTTTTCCTTAGATTTGAAATGAGAATTTAAATTATTATTATGCTCTTTTTTTTTGCACAGTTAATAAAATAAGTCTTATTATATTTTATCACGGAATCATAATAATAATAATAATAATATTATATGAAATCCTTTGATGATCACCAAAGAGTTATACCTTTTGAACACCCTTGAATTGTGAATTTAAAAGTTTATTTATGTAAAAAAAAAAATGATGAATAAGTCATTAAGGTAGAAATAATTATTTTTATTTTATTTTATACTTTGGATGACTGATTTACAAGGTTTTTTTTTTTTTTTTTTTTTTTTACTTCGAAGACAAATTTAATTTTTTTGTTATAAATAAAACCTTTTCGACTTTCGACTCGTTTAAATAAAAAATTAATTTTTATTTTATTTTAAATTTTAATAAAAAAAAAAAAAGAAAAAAAAATTCGAATGAGTCACTTCATTTAAAAAATATTTTAATAAAATCCATTTTTTTTATTATTATTAAAAATATTATTATTATTTTTTCAACCGTGGTGACGGACACATTTATAAAAGCATAGCAGCCGCGGTGGGAAAATAATCAAATTTTCCTTTCAGATTTATGGATAAAATGGCCTTTAAAAAAAATTGATATATTTTTTCACACTCTATTATTATTATTATTGTTATTGTCTACGTTTGAAAAAATAAAATTTTATTTTAAATAAAATGATTAAATGTTAATTTTTTTTTTTTTTGTATCATCGATTGTCATAATTAAATGGATGACATATTTTGTCATCGATTCTCTTACAACAATAATTAATATTGTTAATTTATTTAATAAAAACGTTTTTTTTTTTTTTGATTTAAAAAAATTTACCACGATCGATTGACTGATTGATTGATTGATTCGAATCCGCGGTTTTAAATTTTCTCACGATCAAATGTATATATCATTCAATGTCAATCATTTTAATTAATATTATTTCTCATTCACTTTCGATTTTACATTTATTATTATTATTATTATTATCATCATTTAATAAAGAACTTTCGTCTCAATTTTTTTTTCTTTTTTCTTTCTTTACTCCGTTCAATGACAAATTATTATTATTATTATTATTATTATTATTATTATTATTATTATTATTATTATTATTATTATTATTTACGTATAAATTTTTCTATATCGATCATAGGCCATATTTTTTTATTATATACATTTAAATTCAAACGAATGACGTCACACCGAAATATATATATACGTTAAAAAAAATTTAATTATTAAATAATTAAATAATATAAATTCACTGATGTGATTTACCAATTATTATTATTATTATTATTATTATTATTATTATTATTTTACATAATTTTCCACATGAAACCGAAAAATAATAATAATGATAATAATTAAATAAAAAATTAATAAAAGATGAATTTAAAAAAAAAAAAAAATTATTTTACATTTTTTTTTTTTTAATAAAATTATTTTTTGTTGTTGTTGTTGTTGTTTTGTTAATAGGTAGAAAAACAGGTAAAAAGTAAAAAAAAAACAAACACCTGACGATGATGACAAAAACAAAAACAACAAACAAAAAAAATTTGTTGAATGAATTTTTATTGTTGTTATTTAACAAAAAAAAAAAAACTATAATCTATAAATTTTTTGTGTCGTCGGTTTTTTTTTTTTCGTATCCAGTATTAATATAGAGAACAACGTTATTATTATTATTATTATTAAATTTTACGTAGCAATTTTTATTGTTTAAAAAAAAAAAAAAAAACGAGAGCCTTAAAATTATTATTATTTAAAAACTCGTTCATTTTTTTTCGTAACGTACAAAAAAAAATTATTATTATTATTATTATTAATAACGAAAATTAAATTTTTTTTTTCTATTGACTCGAAAGAAATGTTTTGATATAAAAAAACACAAAGCGTTTTTATTTTAAATAATAATAATAATAATAATAATAATAAAGTATAAAATGTATTCGAACAAATAATTAAAATTTTATTATTATTATTTTAAAAATTTCTTTTGTAACGAAAATTTGAATGCGTTTTTGCGGTTTTATTTATACATATAAGGTTTTATTAAATTTAATTAAATTTATTTAAAAGTTGAAAAACAAAAAAAAATCACGACGACGATGATGATGATGATGATAGTTAATAATTTTTTTTTTATTTAAAAGCCAAATCTTCACGAGAAAATATTTATTAAATAAGAAAAAAGAAAAGGCAAAATTTTATACATTATTATTATTATTATTCGTTCAACCTCGAAAAAATGCAAACAAACAAACAAACAAACACAAGACAAACGTATAAATTCATATAACCTTGAATAATGCAACCAATAAATGATTTTATTTTAATTTTATTTAATTAATTAATTAATTAATATTTAATTTATTATTATTATTATTATTAATAATTATGAATTTAATTTTTTATTCGAAGCATTCATCGTTTTAAATTTATTAATATAATTTATATAATAAATAAATAAATAAAACGCATTGTATGACGTCATCAAAAAAAAGAAAAATGGCGTAAATGTTGATTTTTAATATAATTTTGCGCGGGAAAAGCTTCTTTTTTTCTCCACCAATCGTTCTTTTTATATTAACGTCACAACGTAAAAAGGATACGTCAGAAGGTATTTTAAATATAAGCGAAAAGGTTTTATTTACAAAAAAAAAATTTTATAAATCTCGCGTCTTCTTCAACCACGTCACATTCGTGACTTAAGCTTATATAAAAATTATTTAATAATAATGAATACCTTCGAAAATAAATAAATAAATAA